AAAAACCAAAAAAAAAAAAAAAAAAGAAAACCCTGTCCTGAAAAACCAAAACCAAACAAACAAACCAAACTGAAAACCAAAAAAGGTCTAAGGAGGGGGAGTCTAGGTAAACATCCTGAGGACTTTGGGTGAGGTCTGGTTCTACAGATAGCAAAGGTCACCAAGTCATAACATATCCACTCCAAGCCTTCTTCATGGAAAGCAGGTACTCTGCTTCAGCCAACCTTTCAAGCAAACTGTGGAGACTTTTTTATTTTAACTGCGAGTTTCTGTAGTGAACCTAGATCTCTACTCAGAGGGTCCATTTCAACAAACTCAGCCTGATTCAGTTGTGTTCCTTTCACCATTATCCCACACCTTAAAATCCACTCCTACACATATTCCTGACTGCTTGAATGGATTAGCAAACTCAGTAAGCTCTTTAGTGGTGCAGCACACCTCCTTTGGGACTATACTTCCTACCCTTCTAGGAGCCTGCTTAGCCTTTAAGTCTGGTTATAGATCTAGAGGCGACTATTGGGGGCCCCGAGGGACATCAGTATTGTCTTGCTCGGAATTTCTGTCAGAGAATGAAGTATTAATTTTAATTGAAAACCCACCTGATACAGACCCAAAGTGGAAGCAAGGGCTTCTTGACAAAAGAGAAACAGTGCCTTCCACTTGGCTAGCTATGTCCAAGTCTTAGTGGATGCCAGAGTTCACATGGATATGTACTTGAGTTTGCTCCCAGAAAAAAGGCAGACCAGGCTTAACTCAGGATGATTGGACTCTGGGGTGGCCAGACCTTGGGAATATAGGACTCTGATGCTGAGGATGTGGATATAGGCAGGGTTGGACAGGAGCTTCCTGCTCAGAACAGGCTTGGCTGTCTAGTGTGGGAGCAGAGGTTCCCATCATGGGGAATGGCTTTTATCAGGTGCAGATGTCCCACTGCCCTCAGACCCCCTGGAACTCTGCAGCCGATGCAGCGCCTCCATCTGCCTCCTCTTTTCCTTGGCGCGGTTGATGGTTGTCCGGAAAAGCTTGCAGAAGAGCTGGATAGCTTGGGGCGAGTCATCGTTGCCAGGGATAGGGTAAGTGATGAGGCACGGGTTGCAGTTGGTGTCCACAATGCCCACCGTGGGGATGTTCATCTTGGCAGCATCCCTCACAGCCACATGGGACTCAAAGACATTGTTGAGCGTGTGCAGGAAGATGATGAGGTCCGGCAGGCGGACTGTGGGCCCAAAGAGGAGGTGTGCGTTAGTCAGCAGACCACCCTTGAAGTAGCGCGTGTGGGCGTACTCTCCGCAGTCCTGGGCTGTCTTCTCGATCAAGTGAGAGAACTGCCGGTTTCTGCTCACGAACAGGATGATGCCCTTGCGGTAGGCCACGTGAGCGGTGAAGTTCAAGGCCAGCTGTAGGTTCAAGGCTGTCTGTTCCAGGTCGATGATGTCTTGACCCAGGCGGTTCCCAAAGATGTATGGCTCCATAAACCTGCCAAAAAAACAAAAAACAAAAAAAACCCCAAGGCGAGTGGAACAGTGTTCACGGAGCTACGACGGAGCTACCCCTTCCCCAACCATCTCCTCCCCAGCAATTCAGAATCTTAACTGAGGGCACTGCAGGCTGTGAGGTACTATTTACATTCGTCTGCTCCCCACCACACTCTGTCTAGTGAGTGACGGGATGGGGTTACAGTGCTGTGGAGTTGACCAGCAAGCATTGGGTGTGTGGCTCAACCTGTCCCACCTTCCCCCACGGAGATTTGAGGGCCAACTGCACATTAAACAAGAACCCAGGCCTGGTACTCTGTCTTGTATTGCTCTCTATGGCCACTCCAGTTCTATATAGCAGGACCTCTCCACTGGGGTGGCCGAAACTCAGGGGTCTCCGGCCCGTAAAGACCCTCAATTTTGGTGTTGCTGTTAACGGTCCCCCACTTCCAACCCTGACCCGATCCCACTGCCCTGCCCACACTGTCCGTGCCAGCTACCTATGCCGGCAACCGGCTTTATGGCCCAGGTGTACTCGGGCCTCGAAGAGGCTCTTCACAGAAAACAGCTCCTTGACATTGAAGAAGTCCGAATGTTGCAGGGGCACATCTAGGATCCTGCTCTGGAGATCTGAAAAGGAAGGAAAGGCACTGTGGCACCAACCAAAGACTCAAGGGTCCCTTAGAAGTGGGGCCCTCAAGGGCGAGGACGAGGAATGTTAGGAATGGTCTTGGAAGACACAGGTGCATTTTTACGGCGCCAAAGGGCTAGAGCCAAGGTTTGAGGCGGACTCTGTGTGGGGAAAGCCTGCTCATCTCTTCCCTTAGTCTCCACAGATAAAAGAGAAAGATACTGGGACCTCATTGACTTCTGGCGTGTTAAATGCCCCGCCAAGAGACCAGCAAGATCAACAGATCCAAAACTGGTCTTCACTGGTCTCGGGAGCTACTAAGCCACGGGGGGGGGGGGCATTCTCCGGTCCACCTCCCCTCCCCCACTTGAGAGATTAGCATAGGGTTCGTTTGGGGATCCCGCAATGACAACCCCTCCACGATTCTGCTCCCCGACCCAGCTCCAGTCGCTGGCCTTTACCGTCGTCGTCCTGGGGCTCGTTGACCACGGGGACTTGAGCTCCCGACACTGTCCTACCATTTAGCCCCGCCGGGCCCGGGGTCGCCTTCTGCAGGAAACTTGGCCAACGCCACACACCTGCGGGGAGAGAGGCGGTGGGACCGTGCCCTGACCACATCCCTGTCCTCCTCTCTCGGATCCCAGGGTCCCTCCCGTCTCAGGGGTCCTGAGCGCTCACCTGCACACAGCAGCCGGGTCAGCACGGCCGGAGAAGGCGCCATGGTTGGCGCGTGGACAGAAACGCCGCGGAGACGCTTCCTGCCAGGCAGAGCGCCTCCTCCGCCGAGAGCGCAGGGTCGCAGCGCCGCCTGCAGGACTGGAGGACCGCCCCCAGCTCCCTCTGTGCACGACCTTGCAGGAGGGATCCACCAGGGCGAGTCAGTGAGGTGGCTGGCTTTCGGTGCCTAGCTGTGAGGTGGGACACTCATCTACAGCGTGTTCCTCCACGTAAAACTGTAGCGTCCTCTCAGAGTTGGTCAGGAGGAGGCGACCCTCTGGTTCAAAGTGGTCTTTATTGTTTGTTTTCCTGAGATAGGGTTTATCTATGAATCCTTGGCTGTCCTGGAGCTCTGTAGACCAGGCTGGTCATGAACTCAGAGATCGGCCTGCCTCTGCTTCCCGAGTGCTGGGATTAGAGGCATACGCCACCACGACGCTCGGCACATTTTTTCTTTAAACTTTGTTTTAAGTTTATTTATTTTGTGTATGAGTACTTTGCCTACATGCATAAATATGTATATTATATGTATATGTATATACATATATATGCACCCCGTGAGTGCCTGGTGCCCGTGGAGATCATAAGGTGTCTGATCCCTAGGCACTGAAGTTAAGGATGTTTGCGAGTTACGTTGTAGGTGCTGATAGTTGAATTCAGGTTCCCTGCAAGAGCAATAAATGCCCTTAACCACTGGGTCATCTCTCCAGCCCCATATTATTTTAAAGAATGACGAGTCTACAAGAGCTAGTTCCAGGAAAGGCTCCAAAACCACAGAAGAAACCTTGTCTCGAAAAACCAAAAAAAAAAAAAAAAAAGAATGACGACAACAATGAACTAAAGTCTCTCTGACTGGCCTGGAACTCACAGATATCTGCCTGCCTCTGTCTCTGAGTACTGGAATTATTGGTGTTCACTACCACACTATGCCCCGAGTGGCTTTTATTATTGGTTTTAAAACTTCTCATCATCATTATTGATACAGGGGTCTCACTATGTACCCTTGGCTGGCCTAGAACTCTCTATGTACAACAGCCTGGTCTCGAACTCAGAGATATGCCTCCCGCATGCACTAGCATGTCATAAATACCTGCACCGCTCACAAGATCAGATTTTAACATTTCAATAGTATTTGGCCTAAATTTAGCAACATCTCGCATCTAAATGTAGGCTGAGTTGTGGTGAGCATGGGGCGAGAGGTCAAGGAGACGTCCTGGCAAGTCCAGCAAATGACAGACCAGTGAGTGTTTGCTCAGGGAGAGATCGGAAGCACCTGATTCCTGTGAATTTGCTAGTTAAGCCACAGGTTCTAAGGTCTCATTGGCCCAGAATCTGCTTCCTATTGCATTTTGAGATGATACCAGGATGTTCCCAACAGTCGCAGAAAAAGGCCAGCGGTACCCGCGAGGGTCTGAAGCGTGAAAACTTGGAATTCCTTCGCGTGACCGTCCTGGCTTAGAACTCCTCACTGTCCCCTTTGTTATTCGCCCTCTGGAAGATTCTAGATTTGCCTACAGCTCCGGGGGCAAGCAGTCCACAAAGAACCGCCCCTCCCCCTGTCAGGTGACATCGTTGCCTAGCAACAGGACGCCCTGCCGCTGCTGCCGCAGCCTTGGCTATTGTTCGGGGGCTACTTTTCTGTGGAGGTTAAATGTCTGAAGAAAACCCCCAAGAGTGCACGGAGCCGGTGGAGCCCAAGGCTAAGCCCGCCCCAGAGAAGACGAGCGACTACTATAGCGTGAGCGAGCAGCTCCCCGTCAGGTTCAACAACCCGGGGTGGTTTCATGGCTACAGGTGAGGACTGGGGTCACCTCCTCCAGGCAGGCAGCAGGGTGCCTCAGGTGACCCTAACTTTAGCCACGTGTGTAAAAACTCCCAAGTGCCTGACCGCTGAGGTGAAAAGAAGCCAGAGGTGGACCCTCGTGCCTTGTGTGACCATTACTATCAGGGTCGTGTACCTTCTGCCTGAGCAACCACGTATGGATGTAAGGTTGTGTGTGGGGTCTCTCCACTTTTGGAACTCTTCTGAAAGTGACCTCACAGGGCAGTGTGGCTCCCTTGCAAACGATGGAAGCCTGCAGGCACGCTACCAAGCCCTTCCCGCAAGCGAGAAGAAGACGGCTTGCTGAGGCCTCAGAGTAGGAAGCAGAACCGCTTCCCACCAGTAGCCTCTGTGTCACAGACCACTGCTTCATAAACTACAAACCTTCCTCCGCTCCAGCGGACAGAAACTAGGCCTCTGTAAGGGTTGGGGCTCAGAAGTGTAGGGACTGCTGGGTGACAGGGTCTTGAAGCTGAGATGTGGTTCTGGAGGTAGCTACATGCCTGGCAGTAGCTATCTGTGGACCAAGGTTCCACCGAGGCTCCTAACTCCAGCATTTGCTGGCTGGGTGTTCTGTAGGGGTTTGCCTTGAAAGGATCAGGGGTCATGGCTAGCAGAGGAGGCCAGGGGCCTGCTGGGAGAGAGTGGCCACAGTGGGAGTAGGGTTGGCATGGTATTGCTGTCTGGGGACATCACCAAAAGAACTCCATCAATCTGATTCTTTCAGGTTATGACTTGACTGGCTTAGAAGGAGTGGGAAACAGAGTGTGTCTCTCTTCTACAGGACCAATGAGGCTGTCTCTATGTACAGGACCAGTAACCAGACCTATGGAAGCAGAGCACCCACAGTGCATGAGATGCCGGTACGTGAAAGCCAGACATGCCAGGATGAGGTGCCATCTAGAAGAACAGAGTTGGGGGAGTCAGAGATTGGGACCCCATTATAAATATGGGGCACCTTAACTCATGTTAGAATGGGGCAAGGCAGAGAGATGGTAGGATACATTTAGGAGCAAAATATATAGTAGAAAGAGAAAAGTCCAAATAAAATGGCTTCTGCCTTGTCCTTCTCCTGTTCTATAGTCACTTACACCCTCAGATAGGTGTGTGCGCCTTCACATGGGCACACACACCTTTACATGGGCACCCAGAGGCAAACCAATGAAGCCAAATGTTCTTTGGCATGTTCTGTACTGTGAGATGTGCTTTGTGCATTGGGGTGCAGTTCTGGTCAGAGTTAAGGTTGCAAGCTGATGCCATTGTGACTGAAGTCACTCAGATCCAGGGAAATCACTAAAGGAGTCAGGGAGCACCCTCATACCGCCAGGGCTCCCACTTTGAAATGAGGATGTTGGGGGTCATTACCCAAACAGCTGCCATTTTTTTGAAGAGCTGGTAGTTGGTCATTTAGTTATGTCGTCATTCTGTGTGACAGAACTCCTGTGAAGAGACTATCCTAAAAGATATTCTGGAATCAGTGTCCCCAAATCAGAGAAGTGTTTTTGTGGGAATTAGGTACATGGGTACTGCTGCTTCTGCATTTTTTTTTTTGTTTGTTTGTTTGAGATAGGGTTTCTCTGTGTAACTCTGGCTGTCCTGGAACTCACTTTGTAGACCAGGTTGGAAATGAAGGCATGTGCCACGACTCCTGGCTGTTCCTGCTTTCTTAAATTGCATTCTCCTTGTCCTTGTGTGGGAGTGCACCATGGCACACGTATGTAGGTCCGAGGACAGCGTGTAGGAGTTGGTTCTTCTTTCACTGTGTGAGTCCTGGGCACCCAGGCCAAGTCATCAAGGCTGGCAATAAGTACCTTTGTCTTTTTCTTTGTGATAGAGTCTCTAGTTAGCCCCAGATAGTTTTGAGCTCACCATGTAGCTGAAGATGGCTTTGAACTCCTGAACTTTCTGCCTCCATCTCCCAAGGGCTGGGTTAAAGTTGTGCTCTGCCACAGCCTGTTTTATGAAGGGCTGGGGCTTGCGAATGTCAGACATAATGTTCTACCAGCTGAGCTTCCCTGCCACCCCCAGTTTCTGCTGCCTTTAGAAAAGGTCACTGCTCTGGTCAACAGTGGCATTTGACACTCAGATTAGCAGGCAATGGACCACAAGCCGAGGGTATCAGGCAAGTTGGGAGGTGGCTACTCCCTGCTTCTTACAGTCCTGTTCTCTGGCGTTAGCTGTTTAGCTTTCTGATTGAGTACACTGCACTCTGCGAGCACTTCCTAGTATTATTCTCTATGCTACTGCAGAGGTGGATATCTGTCTTTATACACTAGTCAAATGGCACTGAGTGTGCAGGACCGAGAGGGGGCCCCTGAGTGCGCAATGCTGTCAGTTAACCACCAAGGGGCAGTAGTGGCTCAGATGCAGGTGCACCTGCAGTACACTGTGCGGACAGTGGGGGAGCTGTGTGCATTGGGATGGTATCCGGACACTGTTTTATGTTCAGTTTTTCTGGAGATCTCAAACTTGCCTTTTAAAAAATGCTCTGAGCAAGGCGGTAGTGGAACACACCTTTAATTCTGGCACTTGGAAGGCAGAGGCAGGTGGATCTCTGTGAGTTTGAGGTCAACCTGCTCTACAGAGCAAGTTCCAGGACAGCTAGGGATGTTACACAAAGAAATCCTGTCTCAAAAAAACAAAATAAATAAGTAAGTAAGTAAATAAATAAATATTAAGCAAAGAAAGGAAGGAAGAAAGAAAGAAAGGGATAAGTAAAGAAAAAGAAAAGAAAAACGCTTGAAGTCATTTCTCTTTACATGGTGGAGGTTAGTCAGCCATCTCCCTATCACTAGCTAGATTCTGTCTAGCTAGGCTGGTTCTCACCCCGGTTTCTGTTCACGGTGGCCTCACCCCTTACCACACTCTCAGCAAGGAGTGCTTCAGGCCTCTGCAGGGCAGCCCCTTCCCACACACTGGGCCAGTGGTTCATGCTTTGGGGTCTTTAAAGCACTTGCCAGAGGGTTTTGGCTCCCAGCCAGGACAGGAACCTTTGCTGTAGCTTCAAGGAGGGACCTCGAAGGTCTATGTTAAAGGCAGGGTTACTAGTGTGTGCTTTTCGGATGCGGGACTCTGTGGGGGTTCTCAGGGCGCTGGAGGTATGCCCTTGAGAGGGACCATGGGGTCCAGTCTGGCCTCTCTTTACTCTTCTTCAATGGCTCCTGACAAGCAGTTTGCTTTGGTCACTGTCACCCAGCCAGGGCCAAAGCATCAGAACTGCTCGTTCATGGGAC